CCAATGAGCATGCATGCAAATACGAACAAAGAGTCATTCAACTCTTCGTAATCTCCGTCCAGTCCAGCGAAGAGCCAACTCCCCTCCTATAAAAGGAGGGCTTGGCTGCATGAAGAGAATACACACTCGAAAAATCTCTCTCTGCATTACTGAAAGCTTTCCGACTTCCCTGTTTCCAATCATCTTCTCCGGCGATAACTTCCCGTCGTTCTCGTTCGCCGGTGCTTTGTTCTACCGCTCTAGACTTAGCACGCTGCGGTTTTATCCTGGGAGAATATTGCCCACATTTGCTAGTGCGGGAGACGGGCAATACTACCTTAAGGAAAGCTCCGGCGACTCCGCCTTCCTAACCTATGCTTCCAGAAATCTACGCAGTTGCTGTTCGTGTTCCTCCTTCTGCCCGTCCGCATTCGTGATCCTGTCCGTACGTGTTCGAGCTCTCGAAGACTCCCTTTTTCCCTTTTATTTTTCAGTTGTAAAATCCGAACAGATTATAAGTTCAGATTATTTAATTTCTTTTTTTTCCGCTGTAATAGCGGTAATAGTCAACACATCAAACCTAGATCATTTATAAACAAAAATCAAGATCCACATGGTAGAATCGAAAAAAATTTCATCCGAAGTCGTACGTGGCACGAGTAGAAATACTAGTATACCAATGTTGTGTAGTAAATAAATACGGAGTATATGCTTGCACGTCGAATTCATTGTATTATTTGAATGGAAAAGGTAAGGATGCAATAAAATTTTCTATTTTCATTTCTATTTTCATATATAGTATCTTATGATAACGGAAATGATTAATTCCTCTTTGAAGGATGTTTCTCGTTTGTAATTTAAAATTTATTTCAAAATTAAAATTGAATAGCTTTTGCATGTCATCATATATAAACAAACCATAAATGGAGGAAAAATTGTTTTCCCTCCGTTGTGTAATATTATACTCCCTCCGTTCTAAAAAAGAGTTCTTAGTTTGACCAAGTGTAATAATAAGAAAGTGTTAGTTGACTTTCAATTTTGTTCTTGATGTGATGAGTAAAAGTAAGATGTGATGGATAGATTATTATGGAAAAAGTATGATGTGATAGGTAGAGCATAATAAAGTAAAGATAAAACTGATTTTTTAATAGAAAGTTTTGTTCGAAGTAGAAAAAATGAAAGAAGAAATGTTTTAAAAACGGAGGGAGTACTTCCTAGTAAATGCTTACTTACCTTGGTACAAACGGTCATAACAAGTTAAAGTATTTAATTATCTAACGATAACAAATAAATGTCTCTAAATATAATTAAAATGTTATCAAAATATCCAAATAAGAGCGGCATTAATCATTTTTATCTCCTAAATAAGAGTTTGATTATGTCAAGATGATAATATGGCCGCTAGTTTATTTGTACTTTCAATTTTTCCAATATGGTTAAAGTTCCACCTTGTTGACTCTAAAAAATTAAAATTTGATAAGTACTATAATACGGAGTATGAAGTAAGTACTTTTTTTTTGAAAAATGGACTAATAAAAAAAGCAAAAGAAAGTTACTATTAATAAAAAATTGGAGTAATAATATCAAGAGGAACTTATTATTATTATTATTATTATTATCATTATTATAAAATAGACTTATATAAAATATGATTTAATAGTATAAAGAAAGAGAAGGTTTCTCACATGTATTTATGTTGGAAAATTTATACAAAAAACATAAAGTAACGATAAAAAGAACAAAAAAACCAAAAGTGCAATGCTAACTTAGCTTGAAATGAAAGACTATCCGTAGGTATGTTCAAAGTTGAAAATTAAACGTGCATTAGTGAATAACTTGGGTGAACAACAGTGGAATTAGGTCAATTATTTACTACTCCCTCCGTTACTTTAAAGTTTAAACCCTTCCACTTTTGACTTTTGCCAAAAATAAGAAAGTTGTAATTTTGGTGACTTTCCAATTTTGTCTTGATGTGATGGGTAAAATAAGATGAGATAGTTTGGTTATTAGTGAAAATGGATGATGTGATAGGCAGGGTATGAAAAAGTAAGGGTAAAAGTGGTTTTGTTAATAGAAAGTGGAAGTGTTTTAGAGGATTCAAAAAAAAACGAAAGAGGAAGGGTTTTGTGGGACAGAGGGAGTAATAACAGCGAACAAAAATGTAAGGGGTTGTTGCGTTTTAAATACATATATACACCAGCATCTTTTTGTGTATATGTATGTAGGGCTATTCCCGATTAGGTCTGGACTGAAAAAATCAATCGAAACAGACCGTTCGGTCCAAACTGAACCCAAACCGAATGGATTTTGGGTCGGTCTTCAGCTCAAAAAAATTTAGGATTTCAGGTTTCGATCTGGTCTGATTCGGTCCAAACCTGAAGTGATTTAGGTCTGGGCTGATTGGACCGAATGAACTTAATAACTCCATTGGACCTAAATACATAAACTCTACTTTTAAAGTTCCATAATACACTTTGATGCTTTACTTGAATATATATTTTAATTTGTTTAATTTAAAAAGTTTTTTTTGTTAAGAATTTTTTAAAAAAAGAGTTCAAAAAAAAGTTTTCCGTTAGTTTTTTTATTCTACATAGAAGTAGTCCATGTTGTGTATCTATTTTTTGGTTGTTATTTTTTTCCTATTTGTACGCTAGAAAAATAAAAAGGATAAAATATTTTTTTGAAAGACAAACTATCAAAACCTAAAATACATTTATTGATCAAAATAATTAAAAAATACATTTTTATTCGGTCCGAACCGGTTCGGTTCTAAGTATATCGGTCCGGTCCGATCCAAACCCGAATAAATATAATTATGAGAGAAAGACCAAAGTAGGACTAAATCTATGTTTTTATTTCCGAAATAGGACTTACATTACCATACATGATCATATACATTGCTAAAAAGGTATAATAATTTGTACATCTACATTCCCACATTACAACAGTGCAAAGTCACATTACCACATTGCAAAGTCCCATTTCGAAAAAAACATGAAAGTCCTATTTTGGTACTTTTCTTTATGTTTTAGTCATTTATGGTGATTCCTAATAAATTAGGTCCGGTCTTCGGTCCGTAATTTTAATCAATTCAGTCTTCGGTCCGATTCGAATTAGTCCGGTTCGGTCCGGTCTTGGACCAATAAACACCCCTATGTATATGCATGTCCATTTTTCTTCTTTTAGATTAAATTAGCTCACTACAAAAAACTCCCGGATTTGGCACAAAATATTAGGCACGGACATTCCGTGCCTACGCCGAAAAAAAGAAAGATGACACATGGCGTGTTTCTTTTTGTGTTTTACTTTGGCTCTGCATTTGTCCGTGCCTAATTCCGTGCCAATAGCGTAAACGTTAAGACGTTAAGGGTGTTGTCGGACGGCGATTATTCTAACTAATATGCACGGATTTAGCCGTTCCAATCCCTTACCTTTCTCATAAAAGTCAAAATCGAAAAGGACAAGACTGTTTTGTCATGAAAATAGTCGTGCCTAAAGCCGTGCCTCTACCCGTAGTACATAATTTTATTTATTTAAACATTTAAATCATACTCATAACAAAAAACTTTTATCTTTTAAATATATTAAAATCGGAAGATAACAAGACTAAAATTAGAGAAGAGTACATGATACAACTTTTTTAGATGAAATAAAGAAAGAACTACAATAATAGAAAATTATAAAAACTTATCCAAATAAAATATCTACATCTATCGTCTTTATCCAAATAAAACAACTACATCCTAAAGTTTTTATACTAAAGTTTTCTACTCCCTCCGTCCTAAAATATAAGCAACACTCCATTATTTAAAAATCACGGGAACTTTTATTTATTTTTGCATTTTCATTGATTATTTGATAGAATAAAATATTCTTGTCACTACTTGTTTTGTAGAACTTTTGACGTAGTTTTTAAATATGTAATTTTTTTTATTTGTAGACCATTCTTTAAATAAAATGGATTGAAAAATTTTTGGGACGGAGGGAATATAAAATTTTTGTACTATAAAGTAGTTGGAAGTAGTTCACATTGCAAGAATTGCAGTTCACCATTTCTTTATATACGAAACCATTTCATCCAGAAACATACGGAGTATTTCAATTTCCTTACATCCATCCAGGTACGATATATTTTTGGATTTTTAATTTCATTACATTCATTCAGTAAGTGTGTGTAATATGAACTTTCATTTCAGTAAGTATGTGTGTAATATGTTTTTTTGGAGTTTTAATTTCATTTCATCCTTTACGCGAATGTTTAATATTTATACATAATTTACGTGATAAAACATCTTCTATCTCGCTAATAAATATAGTTAGTTGATCATTTATTTACAATAATGTACATTTTGTAAATTTGAATTCATTTTAATATATAGATTTGATATTAAAAGAGTTATTACAGTTAAATATTTTAAAGTTCTGAAACTAGTGACATTCCGTACTAGGCACGGCGGGTATAGTGCCAATAGCTGTGCCTAGTGAAGATTCCCTGACATGATTTGATTTTGATTCGTACCAGCGCCGTTGGCACAACTGTGGACGTGCTTTGTCCGTGCCTAAATTTTTTTTGTCTTTTCATTGATTTTAGGATATAAAATTATTCTTGTGTGATTTATTTTTTAAAAATTATAATTTTTCTAGCACTTGTAAATCAGGTACTATGTCTATATCATCTAGAAGTTGGATGTACAACAAAAATGCTTTGATTAAACGCGGTTTGACACGTGAATATCTTGATGGTGTAGAAGAATTTATTACATTTGCAAGTGCCCAAACTGAATTTCTTGATAGAGAGAAAATTCGATGTCCTTGTGGGAAATGTAAAAATATGTACTTTGTTACTGAAGACGACTTGCGTTGGCATTTATACACAGAAGGTTTTATTGAGAATTATTATACTTGGTATTGTCATGGCGAAGTATTGAATCCGTCATACTTTCCTCAGACAGTTGGCAGTTCACGTGTAGTTCCANGTTTCTGCATGGGGTAATTATGAGAACATGACTTGGGACCAACAGGTTGTGTATGATGCAATGGCACCTAATGCTTTTCCTGCATCGTCAAATTTTAATGATGTTCCGAGCTCATCGTCTCATCAACATACTGACGATATTAATACATTGTCTGATCAATTTTTAGAAGTGTTGAAGGCAGCTGACGAGCCGTTATATCCTGATTGCGATGAGAAATCGACATTAGCTGCCGTGTCAGAAATCTTGAGCATAAAGTCAGATTGGAATCTCCCAGAGGCCTGTATGTCAAGATGGTTACAAACTGTTGGAGCGTGGTTACCAAAAGATCATAATTTACCTATATATTTTTATACTTTAAAGAAGATGATTTCTGAGCTAGGGCAAAACTGATATATCTACCATTAATTCAGCCCTTAACACTTTTTTCTCGTTTTTTCATTACCCACTCCCCTCCTCCTACTATTCTCTTTCTCCAAAGCCGTAACTCCTCCGCCCTCCTCCCTCACAACCCATTCTCCTATCAATGTCTTCAACAAGGAGCACTTCCTTCCGCAGTAGCATTCGCGGTAAGGGAAGCTTTCAGCGTTCTCACTCTCGAGCACCACCGGAATCACCATCTACCACTACCCCTCAGTCTATATTCAATGCCGGTGGCGACTTGGAGGCTGAGGTTGAGGGCGAGGGCGGAGGAGGCGGCGAAGGAGGAGACGAAGTTTCAACGGAGGCTAGTGCAGTGCCGTACGGGGATCTTCCGCGCTTGATCACTAAGGCCGAACTGAAGGGGTAATTTTTTGCATTTTATTATCTCATTTATTATTTGTATGATTATTTAAGTTTTTAATTTTTTTTCCAGCGAACAAGCTGTCCTAAACACAATTAAAGGCATAATCAAAGAAAGTTTTCATGGGCGGTGGCATACCTACACAACCGCCCCCAAGGAAGTTCGTCAGCGATGGTGGAACCTGTTTCATGTAAGTATTTCTTTTTTTTTTTTAGAAATACACTTAGATGATTTATTCTAATACTGATTTAATTTTATGACTTTATAGCTTCGTTACACCTGGTTGCCTGGGGCATACCCGGCGGACACTGAAAAAATCATGAGGAGCGCCTTTAACACCCGTGGGTCCGTATGGTTGACGAAGAGGTTCATGAATGCACGAAACAAAAATAAGAAGCCGAGTTTTGTGGGAGAAGATCACTGGGAAACGATGGTTAAGTATTGGGCAAGTCCAGATTTTCGAGCAAAGAGCGTGAGGTCGAGCAAGAACCGAAACACGGAGAAGGCAAAGCAAAGGCAATATTATGGGGGGCGTCGTTCTGTGAGCGAGCACATCAAGAAGATGGTAAGTGTTTTTCTGTAGTCTTTACTTACTTATGTCAGTTTTTTATTTAAATTTAATTGTGAATAGGAGCAAGAGGACAAAGTCGTTCCAAATCAACTCAAGGTCATTAACCGCTTGTTTGTGAAGAAGGGTTCCCAGCCGTCTCAAGAAGTTGCTAAAATCAAGGTTATTTATTTATTTGAAATGCTATTAGTAGATATTTTTTGCACAAAAATTTTAATCACATTTTAATTAGTTCTTTAAATTGTGATTTATGTAGAAAGACTGCAAGGAGAAGCTCCTTCTAAAGAAGCAAGCCGCATCCGGATCGGGGTCCAATTCTATAAGTCTTGATGATGTTGCTGAGGAAGAACTAGAAGATGACCTTGGGTTGTATGTCGAGGTGGTGGGGAACAACAAGAACCGGGTCTTCGGGCGGGGCTGTGAAGCTGGATCCTCGGGAGGCACTAGTCATGAAGACTACGCTGCCCGGCTGAAGACCGAATTGGAGGTGAAATTGGAGTAAAATTTGAAGTAAAATTTCAGGAAAAAAGTGCCGATTTAGAGAAGAAATATCATGCTCAATCCCATGATTTGTTAAGTCAATTTCAGGGATTGAAAGAGTCGGTCAATTATTTGACCCAGGGCCTCAGTTTCCAGGTTCTTCGTCCGACAGTGCAGCCCCCACGAAGTCCAAGCCCTTTGCTTCATCAACAGATGACCCCTTCTTATTATTGTGCCTCGCAACCCTTGATGTCTCCCATGCCTGTTTTTCAACAACCTACAGTCGTCCCCCAAATGCCAAACGTTCAATCAGGGGGCAGAATTCAAATAACTGTGATGTTAACAGTTTTCTAAACAATGAAAATCTGTAATTATTCATTAACATTTGTGTGTGATCTTTGTTTGGATGCTAGACATTACTTTCATTGTGGACATTAATTTTATTTTTACTTTATTATGCTGCGAGTGATTTATTACGTATTTGAATTATGGCGTGTTATGAATTATTTTTTTATTTTCGATTTTGTTTTTTATTTTTTTCAAAAACTAAGGCACGGATAAATCCGTGTCAAAATTAAATTTTTTTATTTTTTTGAAATCCAAGGCACGGTGACAAAATATTTGAATTTCAAAGTTTAATCCCCGCGTATTTGAAAATTTTGAATATTTTTGAATATTTTGAAAATTTCCAAAATAAAGGCACGGATATGGCCGTGACTAAAAAATTGAATTTCGAAATATAATTCCCCGCGTATTTGAAAATTTTGAAATTTTTTGAATATTTTGAAAAGTTCCAAAATAAAGGCACGGATATCTACGTGGCTTTTTTGGCACGGACACGTACCGTGCCTATTACAATATTTTATAAATGCTATCGGGACAAAAAAAAATCCGTGGTTTAGTCGTGCCTAAATACGAACGGGGCGATTCCCACGGGCAGATCCGTGCCTAATATCTTTAACGTTATTCTTGCAACCGTTACTTTGGAACGAATTTGTTACAAGCGACGCCGTCTCTATCGTTGGCACGGACGTGATTTCCGTGCCTAACAGTTTGGAGCTTCGAAATTGGCAGCCTTTCGTACCCGTGCCAAAATCCGTGCCTAATAGCATAGCCACAGGAAACTAAAACTGTGATCCGTGCCAAAAGCCGTGCCAATCCCGCGTTTTTTTGTAGTATAGATAAAGTTACCCTATTGCTCGATTTTTAAATAAATAGGACCTTAACGAAATACTTCAAAATGTTTGTTTTTGGTGTTTTTTAACATGAGTTAAAGGAAGTATCGTCTCAGAAGATTTTTTCATTCACGGAGTATTTCATTTTACTTTGTTAGCTAGCAATGAATATGTGACATGCGACATTAAGATTTATTTTATTAGTTTATCGATCAATCAATTAGTTTATCAATTACTCCCTACGTCGGAAATGTTCTTCCCGTGTTAAATTAATATATACTGGCTCTGTTTGGAAGAACATTTCCCCTTTCACTTTTTTCGCTTTCACCAAAACACTTTATTTTTGATTAAAATGGCTAATATATCCAAATAAACCTATTCCAATGTCAATCCATTTTGTATTGATATAATAAGTGATTTAAATGATTTGTCACTTTTTTCTTTTCCATGTTAATGATTTAATTGCAAGGTCAAATTACAAAATTAAATCCTGTAAAAGTTAAAACAGGAATTGTTTTAAAAGATGAAAGGAGTACAGAATAAGGTTTGGGATCACAAATTAATATCGGCCCGGTTCCATGGCCACTGGAATCTAGTGGCCACGGAAGACACTGCCCCCCTACGGAACTCCGTTCATTAAATTGATGATTCCTACCCAGTGGCGGAGCCAGTGAAGAATTCATGGGGGGGGCAAAAATTCATTTAATAAACAAACAAAATACATAATAGTATAATCATATCTTAATTGGTAAAGTGCAAGTAAAAATACCTTCTATTTGTGCAAAAGAGTAATAGTTGCTTGAGGCCATAGGAATTTTTTTCGAAATGCCAACTTTTGAAAGCGCTGCATAATAATTTCATCATCAATGCTTCTAAAAATTTCTTTCTTAAAGTAGCACAACAGACAATCTGATAAAAGCTCATCTCCCAAACGGTTGCGTAAATCAGTCCTGACAATATTCATCGCATAAGGACTTTTTGTTCTTGCCTGTCACACTTTGTGGAAATTTATCCATCGATGGCTTACATGGACTTTTTGTTAAGTATCTTCTCCTTATTACATCTCTAATTTTCAATGGAAAACTATTAATTAGTTTTTGTAATCCCAGATCAGCAATAATATCATCATTATAAACCACACTTTCTTTCTCTATAGAAGAAAAAGCTTCTTTTTCATTATGTCTATCACTTACAAATTTTAAATTCTTCTTTTATCTAATAACAAATTTATCCATCTCATGTCTCAAAATTTCCTGATTCACTAAAATTTCAATAACCTTAAAACAACAATTTCATATTTGTTAATCTCTAGAACTTGAAATTACATTAAGATTTATCAAATATTTAAATATCAACAAACAAACTAGAACCACGGAACAAAATAAATATTCAAAATTCAAAACATAATTTAGCAATATTTGAAAATTTCAAATATTAATAAACAAATCTCAAAATTAGATAATTAAAACTTACACATATATACCTAGACAATCAAGAAAAGATTCGAAGTTTGGATGAAGAAGCACAGCCTATTGCGCCACTGCGTTTGGATTTCTTCTCCGGTGATTGCTAAATGCCTTCGCCGTTTCTGCTATGTCTAATCCGCTACTCTCTTTTTTTTGGACAATTGGGAATTTTCGAATTTGGGCTGTTGGGCCGAATATTTGGCAGGGTCAAATAAATTTTTTTAAACCCATCATCAAAACGACGTCGTTTTTCTTTCTTTTTTTCCACCGACTGCTTCTTCTTCTTATCTTCTTCGATCGGCTACTGGAGCATCCAAGCATGACTTGCGTCGCTGCGACAATCGGGGGGGCAAATCCGGCCTCCTATTTCGCCGGATTTTCGATCGGTTACCCTATTCTTATTTTGCCGGATTTTCATCGGGGGCACTTGCCCAGGCGTGCCCCCCCTCCCCCCGCACCTGTTCCTACCCCCCTAACCCCCGGTAAATCCCCGCCAAGTCCCGACTCGTGAGCATAATTGACTTTAAAGTCAAAAGTTTTGACTTTATGCTTACAAGGTGCAATTGATGTAGGTGAGTGATGAGTTTGGGTCGGGACTTGGCGGGGGGTTACCAGGGGTAGGAATTATCAATTTTATAAACGAAGTTCCGTAGGGAGGCAGTGGCTTCCGTGGCCACTGGATTCCAGTGGCCATGGAACCGGGCCGAATTAATATAGGATTACCTCATCATGAATGGTAGGTGTGCATTTATAATGTTACCCAGATAATTCATATCCATACTTTATTTAAAAAGACATGGAGTCAATATTGTATTTTCCCGCCCAAAGACAATGACTATTACATATGGTAATGTGAAGTTAAAATGGTAAGTGTCCGAAATTATAGTAATATAAAATTTACGTTTTATAAGTATAATTATTATATTATATTTATAATAATTAACTGTCATAATTATTTAAAATTGCCATTTTTAAAGTAAGGAAATTAAAATCTGGAAATTGCCATTTTTAAAATTTTACTCCTTTAATGATAATAATTTAAAAGTATTATATTTAATAAGACTGATTATTATTAAAAATGGTAATAATGTAGACCGACGTAATTACGAATTAAATAAAAAAGGTATAGTAATTTCTCGATTTTTATTTCCTTACTTTAAAAATGGTAATTTCAGTCTTATTTTTTCTCTTTTAACTATAAAAATTTAAAAGTATTATATTTAATAAGACTGATTATTATTAAAAATGGTAATAATGTAGATCGACGTAATTACGAGTTAAATAAAAAAGGTAACTCATTAATAGGCATGTTTAAAATTGGAAAGCGTAAGTTTAAAATTGGAAAGCGTAAGTTTTTATTACCATTTATAGCGTAAGTTTTATTACCATTTATAGCGTAAGTTTAAAATTGGAAAGCGTAAGTTTTTATTACCTTTACCATTTAAACTTGCCTATAATTAAATTTTTAACTATAAAAATTTAAAAGTATTATATTTAACTGTAATTTTAAATTGTCTAAAATTATACTAGCAAGAAAGGTAAGTTTAAAATTGGAAAGCGTAAGTTTTCATTAAAATTGAAATCTTACGTGTGATTTTAATTATAGTAATTTAAATTAAAATTGTATGTTACGTGTGATTACCGTGTCAAATTAATTATAGTAATTAAATGTTAATTACCGTGTCAAATTAATTATAATAATTAAATGTTAATTACTGTGTCAAATTAATTATAGCAATTTTAATTATAGTAATTTTAATTACAATTGTATATTACGCTATTAATGAAATCTAATATTACGTGTGACTACATAATTGTATATTAATTACCATGTCAAGTTAATTATAGTAAATTTAAGTATAGTAATTTTATAATAGTAATTTTATAATGGCTATATTTTAAATATAGTGGCTATATTTTATAATGGCTATATTTTACTATATTTTAATTATAGTATTTTTAATCAAAAAAGGTAATAATTAACCAAAGTATTAATTATATAACCGTGTGACTATATAATTATATACTCTGTATTAATTACCGTATCATTTTAATTATAGTAATTTTAATTATAGAAATTTTAAATATAATAATTTAAATAATTTATATATTGTAATAGTAATTGATAAGTATTTAACGATGGTAAGAAATTAAAGTATATGAAATTATAGTAATATAAAATAAACTATAACTACTGTAAAACTTAAATATCCTTTATATTTATATATATCCTTTATATGTAAAGTCCTTGTGGGCATTTTGGGCTTTACACATCCCAATCGTGTGTCACTGTATTTTTTTCCCGTCTATTTCCGAAAAATCCTCTTATTAGTATATCATTCAATTAGTCATATTTCCATGCCTCTAGCTAAAATCATTTCTAAGAGGATAAAGATCTCCTCTACACTTCATTCGGTTCAGACTTTTCACCAAAACTCAGAAGTCATTTATCGCCGCCCACCGCATCGCCTAAATCTGCAGTATCCTTTATTCCTCTTCTTCAATTTCAATTTTGAGGGTTATTTTAACATTTCAAGTATTGGCCGTAATTTGGTTAATTAAATAGTATGTTGATGTTGTTCATAATTTTTTTTTAGAATATATTATGTTTTATTTTCATGATCAACCCTCTTTTTAAACACCAATTTGATTTTATATATCTCTAAGCACCGATGCATATATTTCATCTTTTTTCCTTTCTGATAGAATTTGGGATGAGTATGGACAACTGGATTTGGGAATAAGACACTTGGGTTGAACCACATTAAAAGATTGAATCCAATCGATTTGTTAGTTCAACTCAAGGGCTTATATACCGGTTTATTTCCTCTTCAAGTTCCGATGTGGGATACTCTTTAACACTCCCCCTCAAGTGGACAACCGAGCCATTTTGAATCTAACCGGTTGACCACTTGCAAATGGACTCCCATCCCCTTAATTTTTTTTTTTTTGAGTGCCAACACCTAAAGGACCACGAGCTGTTGGGTATGAACTTCCAAACAAGCAATCGTGTTAACGGGCCACAGGCCGTTGGGTACATACTCCATACGGACAACTAGAGGTGGCAATCGGATCAACCGGATTGGTTTCGGGTTGGATTTTTTCGGTTCGGATATCTTTCGGTTATACGATATAATCGGTTCGGTTCGGTTCGGATCGGTTAAATTTCGGTTCGGATTTGATTTCGGTTCTATAAATTTTTCGGTTCGGTTTGGTTTCGAGTCAGTTCAGATACGGTTCGGTTATAAATCGGTTCGGATAGATTTCAGTTCGGATACAATTTGAGTCGGATATATTTCGGTTTCGGGTCTAGTTCGGTTCGGATATATTTCGGTTTCGGATCAAATATATTTTGGATATATATTATTTTCTAATTAAAATTTAACTATCCGTGTTTCTTTTTATGTTTTATCACATTTATCAATCTATCATCAATTCAATACCTCATATTATTTTATATTTTTTTCTAGTTATATTATCTCTACCCTAAATAATCTTCCCTTTTTGACTTTTTAGTCATATTTTACAAATTTGGACTACAAATTATGAAAACATATATATTTAATTATGATATAAATTTAATATAATTAAATTGATTTTAAAATTTANTATCAAATTTTTCTCACATCTACTATTATACTTATGTATATAAATGAAAGGATAAAAGATAAATTCGAATAGTCTTATGTTCCATTTGAATATAATTTGGTAAAAATTGAGTAAAATTGGGTGAAATTTAGTGAATTTTATTCAATTGAGTGCAAAATTTGTAAATTATTGAGTATATTTGGTTGAAAGTAGAGAAAATTAAATTTAATAGAGTCAAATATAATTAATTTTACACCTAAATGTAATGGTGTAGATCAAATTTGAAAATGATAACAGTAAAGGCTGCCGCTAGAGAGTCTTTTCAAAATGCTAACACTAGCATCTAATTTTATTAACTAATATTGAGTGAATTGGTTTGAAACTAATCAAACTAACGCTCAAATCAATAAAATTTATTGTAATGAGATGAAATTAGGATAAAATTTAGTTATTCCATACAATTCATCATATATTTCTTTCATCCCAAAAAGAATATCATACTACACTATTTAAAAATTACGAAAATTTTATTTGTTTGTGCATTATCATTTATATGTATACTTTAATTTCTACATATAATAAATTTAAGGCATAAAATTTTGTACTTTTTTTCAAGAAGATAATCCATTTTATGAGGGAATGAGCAAGTAATGTAATTAGTTCAAATGGTAAAATAAAAGTAAAAATTTAAAAATATAATATGCTTATTGAAAGGCAAACATAGTTCTGAATTTATCGTTTTAGTTCTAATTGGGTTCGGATATTATCGGTTTCAGATCTAATCGGTTTCGGATTTTATCGGGTTCGGATCTAATCGGTTTCGGGTTTAATCGGTTCGGATATTATCGGTTTCGGATCTAATCGGTTTCGGATTTAAATCGGATATGAATTATTTAGTTCGGTTTCGGTTCGATTCGGATCATTTCGGGTTTTCGGTTATAGATCGGATCTTCATTTTTCGGGTCATTCCGGTTTTGGTTTCGGATATTTCGGTTCGGGTAATCGGTTCCGGTTCTGTTTTGCCAGGTCTACGGACAACTGGGTTAAAGACTAACGGGCCGCTAGGAATGAACGTCTAGACGGATACCTTGACAAACGAGGTGGGCCAAAACCTGCTCCGATACCATGATAGAATTTGGGATGAGTATGGACAACTGGATTTGGCAATAAGACACTTGGGTTGAACCACATTAAAAGATTGAGTCCAATCGATTTGTTAGTTCAACTCAAGGGCTTATATACCGGTTTATTTCCTCTTCAAGTTCCGATGTGGGATACTCTTTAACACTTTATGATATTTTTTTCCATTTCAAATTCAAATATTAAAATTCCAATATTTATCTAGTGCCTTTAATTTTTTTACTATGTAAAACTGCATTTATGTAGATGTACGCATCATATTTTTCTCAAATCCATTATTTTGTTTGTTTGTGGACTTGCATGATGCATCTTGATAGATTTAGAATAATTGGGAAAATAATTCTGTATATTGTGTGTCATATGAGATGTACAAGGCTAAGTATATATAGGAACCCACAGACCGGGAACTCTAAACAGATAAGGAAACAAACTCTACAAGGAAACCAAACTCTACAAGGAAAAGAAATATATCAGGAATAGGAAACAGTATATGCTTAATTATACTTATTCATAATTCCTAAGACCCCCCTCAAGTTGGAGCATGGAGTAGTGAAATGCCCAACTTGGGAAGAAGAGTCTTCAAATGTGACTTTCCCAGAGCTTTGGTGTGTAAATCTACTAGCTGTTGAGTGGTAGGGACATGTTTTGTCTGAATGACACCACGTACCAACTCATCCCGAACAAAATGACAATCAACCTCGATGTGTTTAATTTGTCCGTTCATGAAAAACAAGATTCGCGGCAATGTGAAGTGCTGCAGTCACAGCAGATAGTCATCGGGTCTGTATGGAGTATACCGAGAGACCGAAGCAACCCATTTAGCCACTTTAACTCACATGTAGTGACTGCCAACGCCCGGTATTCGGCCTCAGCAGAGGACCGTGCCACAGTAGTTTGTTTCTTTGTCTTCCAAGAAACAGGTGAGTCCCCAAGCTGAACAAACCACCCTGTAAGTGACCGTCGCATAAGTGGGCAGGCTGCCCAATCCGAATCACACCACCCAGTCAGGTGTAAATTATTTGTAGCGGACAGCAGTATTCCTTGCCCAGGACAATCCTTTAGATAACGAACCACACAAAGCGCAGCGTGCCAGTGATCGTCTCGTGGTTCTTTCAGAAATTGTGCCAATGTATGTACTGCATATGATAATTCTGGTCGAGTAACAGATAAATAAACCAAACGGCCCACAAAAAGCAAATTGTTTAATTGGATGCATCTTTAAAATTCAATTGTCTATTTTCTTTTTGGTACACTATTGTTTATATATCTAATGCATCATTTTTAAATGAAAAGATGTGGGCATTTGATTCAATTTTTGTCCTATTTTGTTTGTGCTTTTTGTTTGAGAACTTGCATGATGTATCTAATTTTCTTTTATGATGCAATTTGTTTTCGCATGTACTCGTATCTATTCATGAGCACAACTTATTGATTTTTTGCTAATTCCTTTATTTTTTGTGTACATTGCTACTTTTATTTTCTTTCTTATTTTTTACTTTTGGTTTGTTTTTTTCTGATTTTGGTTGGAAATTTAAGGCTTGACATGGGCAGTTTTCTTATTTTAATTTTTCTTCTTCTTTAACTTTTTGCTACTTTTTTCTATTATATATTGTGCATTATTATTAGAATCGAGGAAATGCATTAAAATTAAAAAGCAATGCATTCTCGAGAACAACGTAAAGGATAATTCAGTTTTTTAGATAATGACTATTCATTTTGTTGTAGTGCATTCTTAGAATCAAAGCTGATGCATCTGTGTTGAAATTCTTCTTACACAAATTTAATGCATTTGTGTATTCTAGATAGTGATCGATTTTTCTTGCAAACGGTGATGCATTTTAAAGGTTTCGTCAATTCATTTTGTTATAGTGCATTCTCAGAATTAAAGTTGATACATCTGAGGTGAAATTCTTTTTACACAAATTTGATGCATTTGTGTATTCAAGAGAGTGCTTTTTTTTTTTGCAAACGGTGATGCATTTTAAATGTTTTGTGATACGTTTCAATTTGGTTTATATAAAGAAACATTGAGTGATGCATATTTTAAGATGTTAAAATGTGTATTTGAGTGGTACAAGTGCAAGATATGAATCTTTTAGAAAAATAAATGATTGCCTATTAGCTCAAGTGGAAGAGTGGTATGTACTACCAATGTGGGTTCGAATCCCGCATAGGCAAACTATTAGTTAAATCTATATTACACTTGTTCTAAATAAAAATTAATAGAATAAAACTTAAATATCAAATAACAATGCATTTGTTGGTCATTATTGTGCATTCAGCATTCATTCTCCAAAAAGGTGAAATCGCTCACCGCAGGCGCCCCTCACCCCCGACCCGACGGGAATGTGAGAGGGGGTAAATCACGGTGACCCAAGCACAACACTTAGCTAGACCATATCCTAGTGCGCACCAGAGACTCCTCCCATTTTTCAGAGGTGGTCGCCTCCACAACGGTCGCTGTCAGGTTTCGATCCTTGGTCATTCTCCAAACTTCACCAAGTGCTTGCCACTTGGGCTACCCGTGCAGGATGGGTGTTGCCGTTGAGGGTACCAAACTAACCAAAGCAGATAAGGGAAATTTTGATTCATTACTGATAGTAAAAGGTTGATAGATAAACTTCTTCATTAAATAGGGTTAAAAGGAAAGTTTGATTAGTTACGGATTCCTTTGAATTTTTCCAATGCCTAATTTAACCCTAAAGGCTATTACTCCCTATATTAGTGGATTGTCACGATTCCCTTCTTTATCAAAATTGGATCGGTCAGCAACATTTATATTTAATCTAAGCCACACAATACATCACATTTAATGGATGAGATTTATTCTCATTCATATATATATATATATATATATATATATATATACATATATATATATACGTTTAATAGCGAGAAAGGTAATAACCAATAAAGATAATAATTAAATGTCATTTTTAAAGTGTCTGAAATTATACTAGCAAGAAAGGTAATAATAAAAAATGATAATAATTGACCACGTTATTAATTATATAATCGTGTGACTACATAATTGTATATTAATTACCGTGTCAAATTAATTATAGTAATTTTAATTATAGTAATTTTATAATAGTAATTTTATAATGGCTATATTTTAATTATAGTGGCTATATTTTATAATGGATATATTTTACTATATTTTAATTATAGTAATTTTAATCAAAAAAGGTATTAATTAACCAAGGTATTAATTATATAGCCGTGTGAGGTGTGACCACATAATTGTATACTCCGTATTAATTACCGTATCATTTTAATTATAGTAATTTTAATTATAGTAATTTTAAATATAATAAATTAAATAATTTAAATATACTAAAAGTAATTTAAATTCGTTATAGCACTTTAAAAAATGAATAATTTTTTTAATCCCGTATGGAAAAATCATATTATAAATACATTCATTTACAAAGCTTTCATAGCCATTACATTTATGATGAAGCTATGAGCAGTTAATGTTGATGAAGCTACGAGTAGTTGGGTTTATCACAGGTTTCCGTAACAGTAATCCAACATGTTTTAGTCATGGACAATTCTATGTTGCAGTTTCAAGAGTAACTTATTATAGTGGGTTGAAAATTCTGATATGCAATGAAGACAATATTCCCACAAATTATACAAATAATGTAGTCTATAAAGAAGTCTTTCGAAATTTGTAAATCAGTGATGTTTTGTACCTTAAAATAATACTCCGTATAATCTATATATTCTATAGCATCACATTTTTTATCAATGAAAAATAATTTAAATTTAATAACATAAAAATGAATCGTGCAACGCACAATTG